AATCTGTGGGATGGGTCTATCAGCAGCTATGAGACAAAATAGCTAAATGGAATCAGCACCACTAGGAAGTCTCATTAATTATCTTAGTTGGAGCAGTATGGCCACATCATATTACTCAACTGATTTGTTTAAATTTTATACTCTTGCTGCAGCTCAAGCAAAAATATATGAATTTGGAAGCTGGCAACAAAAATATAGGCAACTAAAAGTAAATCAATAAGAACTTCACAGGTGGTTTGGTCCTTCTGGATCCCCCCTTCTTCCCATAGCGTGTTAGTAGATCCACAGTTCTGATTCAGTCCTCTGGTATGTTGGAACAATTCCTCACATTCTCAAGAAAGTCATCCCAATCCAGTTAGCTGAAGACTAAATAAAACTTCATATATTAGCTCACAAAATCGGGTACAGCAATGAGGGGTGGGGGTACTTTAGAGGTCCTCCTCCTATGCATGCAGCCACCAGTACTATGGGCATTATGGCTCATTGGAATATGGTGTTGCTTTGGGAAGCAGCTTCCAAAGCATAATTTGCACAACCCTTTATCAAAACAAAACACCCTTTCAAAGCTTCGCACTAGGCATATGCAAAAGCCTAATGATTATAGGTCTGAAGCAAAGCAAAAAAGGAATCATTATCAGTTATTATCAATCATCATTTTTATCATCACAACCCATTTCAGATGGTGAAAACCAGAAAACCAATTTTCATATCAGATCAGGTAACAAGAGGGCTACAGGACTTGGTTCCCTCTGAGAGGCACCAGGGTCTAGGAATTCCAAAGCAGCTGGAAGGAAATCACTGAAAAATTTGGACAATCAGTGAAAATCAAGAAATCATGAAATGCTATTATGAGTCAAATCCACTGACTTGTGCTTTCCAGAAATGAATGTATGAAATTTGAAAACAAAAATTCTGGAATCAAATATCACTGACTTACAGATGTGCTTCAGACTCAGAAAAAAGTCTTTACAATCATTGAGCTTAATGAATCGGAAAAGCACTAGAAGAACAGATCAACATAAACTTCCATTAGGATGCAGCCAGTGAAAAATGTGAGCAGTCAATTCAAAATAATGAAACAAAGTTATAATTGTCTGAGTATCAACAATGATACTTAGAGAAAATATTTTGGAATGCATGTGAAAAACTGTAAGATAAAGATTAACTCCTTTGAAATCTAAATGAAATTTAAACTTTAAACTTAAATTTAAATTTAAACTTCAAAGAAAATTGAATGTTATGAAAGTAGGATCAAACAATTCCAGTAAATTAGGCAATTTCAAATAAATCAACATCATTTGTTCAGAGCTTAACCAAAATCACAAAATTCTGCATGATACAAACACCAATTATGACAAAAACAATCAATGACTAATCAGCTCATGTATAGTCTTGCAAAAGTAGAATAAAATAAAAACAAAAACAATAGAACTGGATTACACATTGAAAGCAAGCTGCTAAACTAAAAATAAGATGCCAAAGAGGAAAATTGAATTGGAAAATAAAATTAATCAGTTTTGAAAAGATATTAGCAATCTACAAACTTTAAAACAATAGAAACTGAAAAATGAGAAAATAAAAACAAATTTGAAAAAAGTAATACAACCGGGACTGCAAAATAATTGAAGAAGTCATGGAAGAATTAAAACAGAGTGTGGCAACTTCAAAGAAAATTGAATGTTATGAAAGTAGGATCAAACAATTCCAGTAAATTAGGCAATTTCAAATAAATCAATATCATTTGTTCAGAGCTTAACCAAAATCACAAAATCAACTGAATCCCCTAAAGATCAGGAAGAAAGATTCGATTTTGGAAAAAGATTTGGGATAACAAAATAAAACACAATGAAATGGCCACACGCATAATATATATAATATATAGTACACACATACACACACACACACACACACACACACACACACCAAAACCCAAACAAATGGAAAATATTGTAATAACAGCAGAAATTTTAGAAGACCAAGCTAATAAGGCGAAGGTGTAGTATTGTGCTGTAATATATGTATCATAATATACAATTATGCTACTTCCTTTTCCTGCCTGATATAAATACCCCAACAATTTTTGCCCTATTACTTACTTGCCTACAATATTCAAGCTGTTAATAGAAATCATTGCTAGTAACATCTAGAAACACCTGATTTCAAATTCATTATATCCTGTAGAGAAAAAGGGAAATTCAAAAATTCTAGAGGTACAAAGGACCAATTTTTGATTAACAAAACAATATATTAAAAAACTTCTAAAAGGCATAAAACAAAACTTTATATAGCTTGTATTGATAACAAAAAGGCATTTGATGTACTATTCCACAGTTACATTATTTGGAAATATTTGGAATTAATATT